TAAGGTTAAAACGAAATTAGCGACAAAATCTAAAAACCAATGAACTTAACTTTGACGATATAAACATAAAACATAACATTCAAAAGAATTTAACAATAGAATAAAAAACATCGGAGAACAACTAGAAGATCCAGAATAACTATGGAGTGAATTTAAAAACCAAGTTACCGAAATCTCCACAAACAATGATTATAGAAAAAACTTAATCAAGAAAAATAAATGGATGACAGACGACATCTTGAAATTAATGGAACAACGTCGACTGATAAAATCTAATGTAACAGAATATAGACACCTGCAGAGAAGAATAAAAAAAGAGATCAAATTAGCCAAAGAAAAATGGATGAGAAAAAGGTGGGATGAAATAGAGGATGTAATATCTAAACACGACTTATTTAATGCGCACAAAAAAACTAAAAGAAATGAGTAACACATTAAAAAAAACGAGTTCCCTATGTACTCGTTGACAATAATGACACAATTATTGTAAATGAGCACGAAATAAGAAAAGAATGGCAGCTGTATATATCAGAGTTGTTTGAAGATGACAGGAATAATATTGCCGAATTCTACCAAAACTGTACTGATGGCCCAGAAATTATAAAATGCGAGGTGGAACACGCTATAAATAATGCTAAAATTAGAAAAGCTTGTGGTCCAGATGATACACCAACTGAGATGCTGAAACTAATAGAGAATGATAACATAAAAGTAGTAGTAAGACTTTTTAATTCAATATATAATACCGGAGTGATTCCTGCAAATTGGCTCAAATCCAACAACGCGAGAAAATGCTCAAAATATCGATTAATTAGCCTAATGAGCCACACTCTTAAAATTTTACTCAGAATACTTCACAACAGAATTTGACGCAAATGCGAAGATCTTGAAGACACCCAATTTTGTTTTAGAAATGCTATGGGAACCAGAGAGGCACTTTTTGCGCTTAAGATCCTATTACAAAAATGCCGTGACCAAAGAAAAGATGTATTTGCATGTGTCGTGCCATTAAACATTTGTACTGGAATCAAACTGCTATCGTAAAAATTGGAGATAACTACACCGATGAAAACTTTATACAACGCGGAGTCAGACAAGGTTGTATTTTGTCGCCAACATTGTTCAATGTTTAATCTGACCAGTTATTTAAAAAGGCACTTGAGAGAAAACCATATGGAATAAAAATCAACCGGGAACTACTTAATGTGATTAGATATGCAGACGATACAGTAATTCTATCAGATAATATTGAAGGTCTTCAATTTCTGCTTGATCGTATTCACGAGGTAGGAGAGGAAATTGGCATTAAAATAAAATCAAACAGAACCAAATTTTTAGTATTTAGTCGTAATCCACATCCGGATGCAAAGCTTCAATTAAACGGAGTCCAAGTTGAGAAAGTTCACAAAATGACATATTTGGGAACTGTGATAACGGACCAAGTACATTCAGACATAGAAATAAAACGTAAAATAGCAATGACTAAAACTACTTTTATGAAAATGAAGTCATTTCTTTGCAATAACCATATCAGTTTAGAACTAAGGCAAAGAATGGTTAAGTGCTATGTTTGGTCCGTACTTTTGTATAGTGCAGAAGTGTGGACGCTAAAAGTAACGATCATGAACAAAATTGAAGCATTGGAAATGTGGGTTCATAGACGAATGCTGAAGATACCTTGAACAGCAAGGAAAACTAATAAAGAAGTACTAATGAGCGTCAACAAAGATAGAGAACTGCTAAAGACGGTTAAACATCGAAATATGTCTTATCTGGGACATATAGTAAGGGGAACTCGACATAAAATATTACAACTGATTCTTTAAGGGAAAAATAGAGGGCCGTAGAGGTGTAGGAAGAAAGTTTCTTGGTTAAAAAACATTCGTGAATGGACTCAGATACCAAATGCAGGACAATTATTCCATATTGCAGAAGATCGAGAAGCCTTCGCAATGGTGATCGCCAACGTCGGATAATTCTGATATGGCACGCGAAGAAGAAAAAGGATGAATGGCAGTACGTGGTGGTGAGTTGTCTACGAACTACATTAAAGCTAAAAGAACGCAATAACAATGTTCAAAATTTCATTCACTTAGTATGCGATAAGTTGATTATAAACCACACACTCCCGGAGTGCCACATCTAGTTTTGTGTACTACATTATTCGACACGGTATTTTTTTGTACTACATTATTCGGTAATAATGACCTTCTCTAATGTAATATAATATCGCTTCAAATCAAGACTAATATTGCTTCAAATCAAGACTAAATCGATTAATACCAACTTGCTTCAGCTTGCGATACTCCGTTTCTCTTTATCTTTTGTCATTCAGGCACATTCTGACAGCTAAACATAGATGATTACGACAATGTGATGTGTTAAATTTGTAAGAAATCCCCCTCTACCTCTTTTACCTTCGATATCTCTCTGTATAATAAGGTCTTGATGGTCTTAAGCCTAACAAAACCAAGATACACATTAGGAAATTAAAGGATCCCAACATTAAACAACAAGTACAGGAATCCTTAAGCAGAAACATTGGAAACTTGAGTGAACCCGCACAAGCCGCAGTTGCTAAATGGGAAGAAATAAAAAGAGCTGTTGAAATAACAAACAAGACACTTCTGTTACAGGAGCGCGTAAAGAAGAAAGAATGGATGACGGATGAAATCCTTGATATGATGGAAGAAAGAAGACAACACAAATGCAAAAATCAAGTGAAGTATCAAGAAACAAGTCACAATATAAAAACAAAGATAAAGGAAGCAAAGGAACGCTGGCTGAAGGAGAAATGCGATGAAATCGAAGAGTGCGACAGAAGATATGACTAACACAACATGCACAAAAAGATCAAAGAATTAACAACTAAAAAGAAAACCAATAATCCCCACCCGACACTAATAGACGCAGACGGTAACCGTATATCAGACGACTTGAAGCTCGTTGACACATGGAAAGATTACGTAGAACGATTTTTTAACGATAAACGCAGAGCGACAGTGGACCAAGATGACGACATAACTGGACCCGAAATACTAAGGTCTGAAGTGGAAAAAGCCATTTCATCGCTAAAAAAACGACAAAACACCAGGTCCCGACAACATACAGGGCGAGATCATAAAACCCCTATGCGAAACGGATGGCCACTTCCTCAATTTTCTGACAGGCCTTTTTAACACCTTTTACGACAAAGGGGGGGATTCCGGAGGAATGTCTTCGATCGACCTTTGTAGCCATACCTAAAACACCAAGTGCAAAACACTGTGGTCAACACCGCTTAATAAGCTTGATAAATCACATTACCAAAGTTTTCACCAAAATCATACACAATAGAATATATAACAAATGCGAAGCAAATATATCGGAGTCACAGTTCGGATTCCGAAGCGCATTGGGCACAAAAGAGGCGATCTTCAGTTTGCAAGTTTTAATTCAAAGATGCAGAGACATGCACAAGGACGTCCACTTGTGCTTCATCGAAATGCTCAGGAAGATGCATATTGATGGCAAGGATCTGCGCATAATAACCAGTCTCTATTGGAACCAAAGTGCTGAGATAAAGATGGGCAACTTACACAGTGGGAAGATAGATATTAAAAAGGGTGTACGACAGGGATGCGTCCTCTCGCCGCTCCTGTTCAATATATACTCTGAAAAAATCTTCAGAGAAGCACTGGGAGAAGTTTCGGAGGGTATCAAAGTAAACGGAGAGGTAATCAATAATATTAGATATGCTGACGACACATTTATTATCGCAAATGACTGCAACGAGCTTCAAAGACTCATGCAAAGCATCCACACAGCAAGTCAAGAATATGGTTTAGAACTCAATACAACCAAAACTAAATGCATGCTCATCAGCAGAACACAACAACCTCCGATGCAATTGACATTAAACAACCGAAAAATAGAACAAGTGGAGACATACACATACCTTGGAACCACAGTCAACACAAAATGGGACCAGTCAACAGAAATAAGATCAAGAATTGAAAAAGCGCGAAACGCGTTCGACAATATGAAAAAGTGGTTCACACGCAAAATCTCAATGGAACTAAAATTAAGACTGGTCAAGTGTTATGTCTTCCCGGTCTTGTTCTAAGGAGCAGAGGCATGGACCACAACGGAAGCCACCCTGAAGAAACTAGAATCCTTTGAGCTGTATCGCCGTATTCTTCGGATATCCTGGACAGACCACATCACTAACGTGGAATTAATGCAGGGAATAGGCAAAAGCAAAGAAATAATCTTCACCGTAAAGAAACGGAAGCTTGAGTACTTCGGACATGTCATGAGGCATATTAAGTACCGGCTGCTACAGTTAATAGTCCAAGGAAGAATCGACAGTAGGAGGGGACCGGGAATAAGAAGACACTCATGGATGCATAACATGCGACAATGGATCGGACTAACATCGACCGAACTGTTCAGAGGTGCCGTAAACAAAGTCAAAATAGCCTTGTTAATAGCCAACGTCCGAAACGGATAGGGCGAAGGAAGAAGAAGAAGATGGTCTTGGGACCGTCTCTTCTAAAAAATTTCAAAGCCAGAGACTATCTTGGACACGTTGAACAATATGGCAACAACAACGTTTAAATGGTTATTATTTTAAGCACAGGGTAAAAATATGCAAGGTTCTAAGTAGTATGTATTAATACTGAGTATAAAATAAAGTTAAGGAACAAAGAGTTTGAGTACAAAACGACTATAGTTCACTGTATGTAACGTCCCGAATTACCTTTTTTAGGTTATCGCTCATGTTCGTTTTCTCGAAGTATTACCGAAATTACGTCTATTCAACGGCCACATGCCTCTTAAAGTGGATATACACAATAATATGTAGATCTTGAGTATAAATTATTGTCTTATTAATCATTTGTGTCACACCGTAAATGTTAATAGACGAACTTCCTTCACATTTCAATGTTAATAGTCTCTCTCAAGTTTATTTATTATATATATTTTTTAATTATAAGTAAATAAAAATTGTTTTTTACCTGGTAGGCATCTGGAATATTTACAGGTTCTCCACTCTGCGCCACGTACCCCACAATACCCGTACCAAGAGGAATTTTAATTTCCTCCTTTTTTTCTATATCTACAAGGGTACTTTTGGAGCAGACATCGAACAGTTTAGAAACTAGACAACGGTCTCGGTAATGGCCCGAGTCTACTTGACAACTGGTTTTGTCGCCTTCCACCAGAAAGAGAGAACCACGGTCGGCGTTCAGAAGCATGCATACGTTTTGAAGGATCTTGTGGCACAAGGACCTGATCTCCAGTTCGTTGCATATATCTTTCACCTGAAAAAATAAATATATTAGTTTATATTGTAGTTATTCGATATATACATTTCGTCCGTAACTTCTTGTGGGGAAGGGTCATAAGCAACAATAGAATTAACAATTCAAAGGATTTTACAAAATTTTGAAAATACTAGAACCGTGATTTCTAATTGTACCTGTACAAATAATATTGCTGGTGTATCAAGAGATTTAGAAAATCAAAATGAAATAAATGTGTTAACAGCAGTTGTAAAAAATCCTAGAATAAGTTCTCGGACCATTGCAGACCTGTGTGTAAAGGGGGTAGTGAGGCGCAATACATGATGTCGTATCCTGTTGGTATCACTTAGCCTATCCTACTCAATTCCTATCTTTACCTCCAAGTTGGTACATACCGGTAACCTAAGCAACCCCACTGGAGATTGGGTAACCAAACCCCAGTGGAAGGTGGGGTCAGGGCTGACGAAGAAGTGAGTCTTGGTCCCCCCACGAATAGGGGGTTGGGCTGAAGGTTAACTACCTTCTCCTAGAAAAACTATCAGTTATGGACGTTCAAGGAAGAAAAGCCGGACTTATCAATCGACGACGACTGTGCGAGAAAAAAGAATACGATTTGAGGGTTGCGACATGGAGTATTCGAACCTTATATAGACTGGCAGCTCTCCAAAATCTAAATGAACTAGACAGGTACAAAATAGACATAACTGCCATATAAGAAATGAGGTGGGTTGGAAACAATGTATTGGAAAAAAGAAGCCGTACGATTTTCTACAGCTGCGATCCTAAAGATCACGTCTTGGGCACAGGATTCATAGTAAACAAAAGCGTAAAAGCATTAGTCCAAAAATGTGCATTGAGTTAAAGGTCGTTTCTTTAACTACAATCTTATTAATGCACATACCCCAACAGAAGAAAAAGAAGAGGAAATTAAAAAAGAGATTTATGAAGAATTAGGGTCCGCATATCAGTTATGCCCAAAAAATGATATAAAAATAATCTATGGAGACCTAAACGCAAAAGTTGGAAGAGAACAGCAATTCCAACCCACAATAGGTAGGCACAGTCTGCATGAGCAATCAAATGACAATGGCAATAGGTTAATAAACCTAGCAAGATCACTTAACATGGTGATTGCCAGCACATACTTCGCTCGCAAAGATATACACAAAGGTACCGGGAAATCCCCAGATGGGCTTACAGTAAATATGATAGATCATGTCATTGTAGACTCGAGACACCAATCGAATATAATAAACGTCCGCACCAGAAGAGGGGCAAATGTGGATTCTAATCACTACCTGGTTGAAAGTAGTGTAAGGGCTAGAATTTCAAACATCAAAAAGGAAAGAGGCTCTAAAGATGAACGATACAAGGTAGAAGGACTCAAAGAAACAAACAAAAATAAAGAGTATAAAGAAAAGATAAACAACAAACTAGAAAACAGACTAACACATGAAAACCTAAATAAGGAGTGGGAAGAATGCAGACACATCATAAAAGAGACAGCTAAAGAAGTATTAGGCATAGAAGGTAGAGAAAGAAGAACAAGAACGAATGACTGGTTTGACGAAGAATGTCAGATTATAACAGACAGAAAAAACAGAATATATTTACTGATGCAACGGGGACACAGAACCCGACAAGCAGAGGAAGAATATAAACAATTACGTAAAGTAGAAAAGAAAACTCACCGAAGAAAAAAGAGAGAATATATGAACAAAGAACTTCATTAACTCCAAGAACTAAGTAAATCAATAGAGACAAGAAAATTTTATCAGAAACTGAACAAAAGCAAAAAAGACTTCAAACCGAGAATAACGATGTGTAGAAATAAGGAAGGTAATATATTCACAGCACAGCAAGAGATACTAAGTAGATGGACAGAACATTTTATGGAAAAGCTTGAAGGAGATGGGAGAGAGACGAACCCTGATATACTATTAGACCGAGCAGACAAAAGAGAAAAGACTCCACCAACAATAGCCGATATTAGAACAGCAGTAGACAAATTAAAGAACAATAAAGCACTGGGATCGGATCAAATAGCATCAGAGTTACTGAAGGAAGAAGGAGACGCACTACAAAAAACAATACATGAATTGATAACAAAGATATGGTCGAATAAACAGCTACCAACGGAGTGGAATAGCGGTATTATTGTACCATTACATAAAAGAGGAAATCAGAATGTGAAAACTACCGTGGAATCACGCTGCTGAATGCAGCATACAAAATAATTTCCAACGTCATTTATGAAAGACTTGACCACAGGCTGAAAAAATAGTTGGCAAATACAAAAGTGGCTTCTGTAGACAGAAGTCAATAATAGACCAGATATTTGTTCTGCGACAGATCCCCGAAAAAACAACTGAATATAACATCGACACACATCATCTCTTCATAGACTTCGAAAAAGCATATGACAATATAAACCGAGAATTCTTAATAAAAGCAATGAAAGAATTTAATATACTAACACAACTAATAGAACTGATAAAAGAATCTCTAAAAGTAGAAAGGCAAATCCGGATACAAAATGAATTAACGGAAACAATAGATGTGAAAAAGAGACTACGCCAGGGAGACGCTCTATCATGCATCTTGTTCAACATCGTACTCGAGAAAATACTGAGTTACATAACCTTAAAAATAAAAAAACTGGAGGGAAAAGCACGAAACAGATCAGAATGGAGAAGAATCCTGGAACAGACCAAGACCCAAAAAGGGTTGTCGAGCCAGTGATGATGATTATGATGACCATTGCAGACCAGTTTAATATTCACAATTCCACTGCCTTAAAAATTTTGAAAAGGAATAAATTCCGTTCATATAAATTTCAATGTCATCAAGCACTAAGAGAAGGAGCTGCTGAGCGACGAGCGGAATTTTGTTATGAAATTTTAGAGAGGCCTAATGCAGACAGACAATTTTTAAAAAACATTTTGTTTAGTGATTAATGTACATTTACATTAAATAATGAACCAAATGTTTAAAATTATAGGATTTGGTCGACAAGAAAGGCTGAGGCTATTATTGAAAGCCATACCCAATATCGTCGAAAAATAAATGTCCGGTTAGGAATGTTTAGACACAATATTATTGGACCATTTTTCTATGAGGAAAATTTAAATTCAAACAAGTTTTTAGGCTTGCTAAAGCTAAGAAGATATTTTACCCAGACTTGCAGAAGTAGCTCCAGATGAAGAAGATATTTGATTTCAAATGGATGTATGCCATGCGCACAATAACTGAGAGGTTAAAAGAGAGGAATTAAAAATTGAATTTTATCATAACATATTACAGTCCAGTTAAGATTGGCATAGTATGTAGTGTATTGCAATAAAAAAATTCATCAAAAAATGAAACACAAGCGTTGTTTTATTTGTTGAGTAGATCATGTTGGTACATATCAATTAGGATCGACCCAGATTTGAACATGGTCTTTTAATACTTGGACATTGGTTAACACGTTAGTCAGGCTGCAGACATTTCGTTTGAGAATACTTATTTGAGCTATCTGGCAAATATTAAGTGAAATTAGTCATCTGAAATCACGCGCCGTAAGTGGTGAAATGTAGCCGAAATCACGTAACCATTATGAATTCTAGGAAATTTTAAGGCTTTTTTATCACTTTGTAAAAGTACCAGTAAAGATTGGCTCTATCTGGCAAATTTTTTTAAAAAAGATGATTAACTCAAAAAATATAAAGTTTTGGCCTATGGTACCTTATACAAATTGTATCCAGATTTTAGGCAGAATCTAAAAATGTAATAATATACAGGTTGTTCCATTTAAAATAATAAAATTGCTGTTCACTTCCGGTTTAACCGGAAGTGGCATATCTGTCAAAATATTTTCTTTAAGTTCATCATAACTTGTAATCACCAAAAACCAATTTTCATAAATATCGTTTAGGTAGTTTCCGATATATAGATAGTATAAGTTCGTTGTGAACACACTGTAGAAATTTCAAAAGAAACGAAATTCAAAACCGGAAAAAATTATGCGAAACAAAAAATCGACCAAAATTTTCAAACATTTTGTCCAAGATAACGTTTGTAATCTTAAATATATGTTCTTGATGTAATAATAACTTTATTGTCTGTAATTTTTGGTACCAAAACTCATCTTCTTTCGCAATTTTCGATATATCGTCAAGGAAACTACTCCAGAAAATGAAAATTCGAATAAGTCCTCATAATAAACGTTAATAATTGTCTTTTGCCGCATTGTTATCACTTATTAAAGACCTTCCATTCAGACGTTTGAATTATTCTGTCGCTTCCAAAATCTAAATTCTATGAGACTTTTATGAAGGTTTTGTTGGGACATTCATGGCATAACAAATTTCTCAGCTATCTCTATGGCGTAGCTACGAGGGAAGCAAAGTTTTCGACTATGCTTTTTAGACGTTTAAATATTTAAACTTTTTATTTGTTTCTATAACGTTTTATTTGTTAAATTAAATTTGTTATATAAATGATGCTTGCAAGGAAATAGACTGTTAACAACAATTTTTAGAAATAAAGGGGGCGATCGGCCACCCTATCAAACCAAATGATCAATTTTTTTTTAAACTTAGCTCAATTTGTATAAGAGTCTTTGAAAAAAGTAACTTAAGATGTTAAGAATTGCGTAGGCTTGACTACAGATGACTGCTCTGTAATGATTTCTGTTATTGTTGGTACAGTAATTAGCTCCAAAAATGAAGCTATTAATGTTGTTGATTCATCATTCTTCAATCATATTCTAAATCTTTCAATTGGTAAATATTTATCAGTTCAGTTTGTGAGAAATGCAAGTGAAACGATGAAAGAAGTAATTTCTTTTTTTTAAAGCTTCGTCAAAACGCAATGCAATTCTTAAAAATATGATGGTCGATGGTGATCCACTTAGTGATTTGTGCGAAACGAGATTGGTTGAACGTTATATTTGAAACTGACTTTCTTGTGACGACTATTTGCTTATCAGTAGTAGGTACTTTCTTGTACTTTGCCATTAAGTCGTTTTTTCAAAA